TATATATATATATATATATATATAAATGAATTATTTAGAGCTCTCCAAGTTTCTTTAGCATATTTTGAATTCCACACCACCCTTTCTTTTTACTCATCCTTAAGATAATCCTAACTTTTTCCCGAAATCCCCTCCTTCCTTCCTTCTTTCTTCCACCAAAATTTAGTCTATATACCATGATCATAATTTTTTTTAGAATCTAATAACCACGTACATATCATAAAAAAAAATTAAAATTAATATAAATTAAAATAACCTAAAATAAAAATTACAATTATTATGATTATTTTCATGTGTTCTAAGCCACATATATTTGTGATTTGTAAATAAAATAATGATACCACATGTATATAGAAAGCAAGAGCATGAGAATTATCATTCCATGTGTCTTTATGAGTTAACTTGTGTTTGCATTAGATACTACCCAACTTTTCTATCTATATTAAAAATATTTTTGAGACGTGTTCTCATTTTTTTTGTTTCTTTTTGCGTTGTTGTTTATCGTATTTTGGATTGAATACCATCTACGAATGTGATTCAACCAAATATACATTATGAGAGTGTTTGAGGAAAAACTTAGGCTTCTGGATTATTTTTTCTTTATGTTGGGTTATACTATGATAAATGCGACATTGGAGTTTTGAGAATAAGATGTAACTGCTTAATCAATTTAATTTTGAGTATTGTTTAATTTAATTATTGATTTACTTTATAACTTTAAAAAATCTATGTAAAAGCCTTTGAAGTGCCTATTTGATTTTTTTTATTTATGTTCTTATTGTATGTAATTTTTGTTTAGAAATGAGATTAATGTGATATTTTTTCAAATTAAATTATTTGGGTTCTTATTTTAATTTTGACAATTTAAATAAATAAATAAATAAGAAAATTGATTTTGAGATATAAAGTGTCACAATTTTCAATATCATTATTTAAAGAGAGTCAACTGAGAGCGAATAAGGAAGAAGGAGGTGAGACATGGGTGAAAAAATAGTTCTGAAATGCCTAATAAGATTGAAAATAAAATAGAAGTATAATAAGAAAAAAGTTATTAATAAAAAAAAAAGTAAATGAGAGTGTAGTTATAAATTATGGGAGGTGTAATTATAAAATCCTTTTTGAATGAATATACAATTATGTTTGGAGCATTTGGTGGACCTTTTGTTATGGGCCTCATTACTGAATCAAAGGTGATATATATAGATCCATCTACAGAGAAACCCTAGCCTGGCGGAACTGCACTTCACTTTCTCTTCGGTTAGTATCTTCAATTTCTGTCGCAATTCTTCAAAGTTTGCGCTTTGTTCTCACCATTCTCTAATTTTGCGTTGCAGAGATGGCAAAGTCGAAGAACCACACAGCTCACAACCAGTCCTACAAGGCCCACAAAAATGGCATTAAGAAACCCAAGAGGCATCGCCACACTTCCACCAAAGGGGTAATTTTTTTTTGTTTTATGCTTTTGGGTTCTCTTATTTATGGATGATTATGTTTATTTATTTTCGGGTAATTAAATTGCGTCGTTTTATTTTTAAAAAAAATGTTTTTTTTTTTGTTGTTGGCGATTGGTGCAGATGGATCCCAAGTTTCTGAGGAATCAGAGGTATGCGAGGAAGCACAACAAGAAGAGTGGGGAAACTGCCACCGAGGAAGAGTAAAGTGGCACTATCTAACGGAACTATTATTAGAGTTTTTTTTTATTTAATTGGAATCTTTGTTTGATGTCTATCTTCAGTAGTATAATTAATTTGTTCACAGAGAACTCTGTACTCTTATAGATATTTTTCTGGTTTTGTTGAAGACTCTTGATTTTTTTTTTTCTTTCAATGGAATGTTTAGTTTGTTATAGCTGTGCTTATGGAGAGTTGAATCTTGACTTTACTGTTTTTAATACTGGGAATAAAAGGGAGGTAGCTTTTGCTTCTAATGGGTAGCACTGCATCATACTTTTGGATATGGTTTTAATTGAGGAGAAGTTTGGGTTTTCATTACTTAACATCTAACCAAAAGAGTGAAAGGGTTTGGGAGATTCGCCTGGCTGATTTTAGTCTTTCAGAAGGGGGTTGGAGAAGGAAGAGAGATTGCTCTAAATTAAGCCAGATCCTTTTCATAATACTTTTGTTACATAAGTTATTTGTGCAATGTTCATCATAGCCTACAGAATTCTCCTTTTCAGTTTTAGCTGGTGGAAATAAGTGTATAGATTCTTCTGTTTTCTTAAGAATGGGATTGAATCGGAGATTATAATGTATGAATGGATATATTAATTTTATGGCTACTTTTGGCGATCCTCTTCCCCCCTTATTTTGATTGTTTAAGTGAAAAATAATGTTAATCAGATCCATTTACTAACACGTTATTGGTAAGCCAAGATGCACTTGAGATAATGTCTCAGCTCCTTTCAGCTGAGCTGCCTTAGGGTTACATGATGCGCATTGCAGGAAGTTTGCCGGTAAGCACTAAATCTAAAATCTTGTAGATAATTTGCAAGCGCAAAGGTAAACTGTGCCTTAACGTGATTCATCCATGGTTCTAAAGCTCTCAATCTTTTAGATAATTGTCTGTAAAGTATCGCATGTTCTATGTCAGTTCATCCATGGTTCTAAAGCTGTAAAGCAACAAATGTAGAATTGTCATGTGGTTTATTAAAACTACCTAGTGTCCCAAGCCCAACATTAATTGCATACTACTAGTGGCTTGGGCAGCAACTATAAATTGGTTGATGTTGGGAGTTGATGAATGTGTCTCCTATATTTTTGAGCGGCCAATATATATGAAAAATATGGATGATAAAAGATGAACCTATATTGTATTTATAGGGTTTATTTGCTTTGGATTTTAATAAAATTAATAAATGTTAATTGAATTGATATTAAAATAATCATATTTGAAATGACATTCAAAGCGACTTTATAAAGTTAGGTTTTTATGTGGATGGTGAAAAAAAAAATTGTTACCAAATTATTATTATTTTTATCTGGTAGAAAAGCTAAGAAATGTTGGTTGTATAGGTGATTGGAGTATTGATGAAAGATATCTCAAGGGATCATTTGTGCAAGTTGTTTCCCACGTGATCCAATCTTGTACGATAAAGCAGAATTTATGAAAAATAATCTTGTTTTTATCATGTTATAAAAAAAAAATACATGTACATACCGAGAACCAAATTGGAAAATAGATGACTGCATAACCATCTTGATCAGGAGGGACTCGTGGTTCTTGAACGTCATCTTGCCAAACCATAATCCGATTGTAAAGAAAAAAAAAATTGCTTTTAACTAGTGGATTGCGTTATTGTCAGCAAGGTTGAAAAATAGGGCACTCTCAGGCCACCGAACATGAAACATCTAGACCACAACTTAGAGGAAACGAGTTTCTAAAGAGCAAAAATGACGAATATAATCTTCTCTTAACACTAACAATATGCCTAGAAAATAATATATCGGCACTCATCCATTCTGAGACCACTGGCGAGACTCCTCCAAACGGTTGCCCTCAGTTACCAGATTTTGGATGTGTTGGAGTATTCCGCCGGAAGATGTGAAATGCATTGAAACTCCGTTTGTACAGGAAACTCTTGTAAAGCATATACTTTGGATAGATTAAACAGTTACTGGTTCATTCACTGGGCCAGAAGCATGTTCTTTAACCTGCTTTAGTAATTGAAAAGTGGGAAGCACGGGTTAAAGCACCAGGCACTTCAAACTATTTGTGTGTACGCATGTGCAAGTCTGGAAGTAAATTATGGATAACTCACTTTTGCTGATTTAAACAGTTCATCAAGCACCTCAGACAAAGTTGGATGAGCATGAACCGCAAATTTTATATCCTGTATTGTAGCACAACAATGTTGGAAGTTAACAGGGATAACGAGATTCTCGTGGATATTAAAAGGTATGTTTATCAACAAAAAAATGGACGAAAAGAACCCTATTTGTCAGTGTAGTACATGCAAATAAATAACTAAATCCCAAGCTCTCACATTTGACAGATTTGGTAGGAAAATTTACCTGAATACGTGTTCCTAATGCTATTGCATTGGATGCCTCATGGATGAGATCAGCTGCATGCAACCCAAAAATATGAACTCCTAATATATCTCCATTGTCGGGTCTATATATCAACTGCACAAAAACAGTTTAAAGACAGTTGGTAAACAATGAAGCTGGTATAGAACAGCGCATCAAGAAGTAAACCAGGACTCCCTGCTCCCGAGCCAAATAACATTGATATCACCAGAATAATAATTCAATTTGTTTATATTATTTTTTGGGTATTGGGATCCAAGGGTCCAATGGGGAAATGGTATGCAGAGGAATCAAATCCATCAGGTTAGCAGCTTCCTGATCTTAAATACCAATTGAGCTAAGTAAGGCCCACTGGTTGTTTAGATTTTGGAGGGTCCATAATCATGCTTAGTTTGACAAATTCAATTCTCACATTTTTTCAAGGTTGCAAAATGGTCACAAGATCAAGAATATGAAATCAATTTTAGCAAGGGGGGCTCAGTAATTTTTCAAAAAAAAGTCCCTATAATCATCATACTTAAAAAATCATTGCACTTTACGACAACCAAACAAATTTAAAAAACCAAATCTTTTAGCACCATTTCCTTCACAATCTAACCCAAACAAGAACTTTATAAGCTTTTGTACAAGAATAGTATGAAGGGCAAGATACAGGAATATAACCTTGGCAAGACCCTCGCCTTCGTTTTCTGCTAAGGCCTTTGTGTTAGCTTTAAAACTTGTTTTGGCAACACTTACTTCAAAACCCTCCTTTTCACCTTTCTCCCTTGCTTGAGGCTGGATATAGATATTTGATCATAATACATGAGTTCAGCTTAGTGAAGGACAATGAGCAGTAATTCTATTATATAAATTCTACAAGGGGAGAGGGAGGACAAAACAGAAGAACAGAGAAGGGGACAGTTAGCCATGTGTATGAAAGAATGAAACGCTGGAGCATGAAACATAAGCCAAAAGAAGAATGTGATATACCTCTGTCAATCCAACCATGCTGATTTCAGGATGAGTGAAACAAGCAGCTGGTATGCTTAAATGATTGATCACATGATCTCTTCCAGTGACTTGTTCGACCACTGTAAAACAATCTTTTCGTCAAGTAAAAAGAAACAAATGACTCAAATATTAGGGGTGAAACTACATTACTTGCTTCATACCTGAAATTCCTTGTGCGCTGGCAGCATGAGCAAGCATCATTTTGCCATTTGCATCACCAATACAAAATAAATGAGGGACCTATCATTCCATACCCTAAATGAGTAACACTGGGTCAGACCAAGAGAAAAATAATGCGTGCATGAAAAATTCGAAACAAACCAGGTTTCCATTTGAATCAATTACTCGCATGCGCTCATCCACAGGAACGAAACCACGCTGTGTTACAACATCAATCTGCCGGAATATGTAAAGAAACACGTCTAATCACTTCCTCTGGGGGAAAACATTTTATCCAAAAGACATTTCAGTTAGAAAGGCATACATTCTCCAATCCAAGACCTTGTGTGAATGGAGCCCTTCCAGTTGCTATTAGTGCAGCATCCACCTATATCAAAAAGTGGCAGATTGTTAAATTCAGTAATTTAATATGCAGGTAAAAAGATGCATGCTTGCATACATACTTGGATGGATGGATAGATATGTAAAATACTAAAATGTGATCTATAATTGAGATTTTATAGACAATTGCAATGGTACACCACTGGTAATTTCTATCTTTAACAGTACATATGATCAATGATTTCAGCTTGTACTAGTAAATTCAATGGAGATACGGATGCCACTAGCCCCTAAAGCTAAGCAGTCAAATGTAAATTTAGACAAGCAGGAAGGACAAATCCTGGAACATTAACCATTTCTGCCCCAGTTATGGATAAGTCACAGAATTTTCCACCTCAGTGCAGATACATGCACTTGTACAGCTCTCACTAAGCTATATTAAAGGGGAGTATGTTAATCACTTCTGGATTTTGAAAATGTGATCCAAGTTCATTACAAGGTTTCATACCATGAGAGCATGCTGCATTAAGAGTGGCCTAGGACAAAAGATAGCTAAGCTACTAAGGGTGTGTTTGGGAAATAGTTGAGTTGAACTGAACTGCAGTTGAAAAAAAAATTATACTCACAAGCTTTTACTTTTTTTACATTGGAACATGTGTTTTTTCGTTGAACATGGTTTTAAACTGGTATTCAAACATACACTAAATTGTCTAAACTGTCTGACTAGTTCTGTATGAGTTTGTTCCCTGGTGACATGTCCTCCAAATCCAATCAACATTTGCCAATTATTATTTCCGTGGGAGAAATTCTAACAGTTAATAGCAAAGTAATTAACTAAAAGCCTTTAGGGAAAAATAAGGTACCTCTAAAGTGTCTTTTGGTTCCTTGGTCTTTGCATCAATGAGCTCAATTGTGACAGGTTTTCCATCTCTTGCAGGAGTGATCTGTATAGAGAACAAGATGACTATAAAAATTCAAAGTAGCAATTCAAAAAAAAAATTATAGGAACAATTACCAGATGTAAATTACCTTGGATGCAAAAACACCAGTATGGTAGTCAATATTCCGGGGGTTAATGAGAACCCTCTGAGCCAACTTGCTAATTTCAGGATCAAATCCAGGCATGAGCTGATCTAAAGCTTCAACAAAAGTAACCTGCAAAGTACCATTATTACCAAGTATATCTATTCTGCAATCCTCACTAATTTGGTTTCTAAATTTTACAAATAATGAAATAATATAAAGTAAATGTTTTTTTTACTTTTCTGTGCCATAAAAACAAAAGCATTAAAAGATAAACGAGCACTCAATATAAAAATAACATTAAGATTTCAGACATCGTAAAAGGATTAAAAAAAATGGCAAACTATTGCCAATTCTTCTCATGAACAAAATATAATGGAGAAAAAGAAAGTATCAGGAAAGTGTTACCTCACTTCCAAGAGCTGTATATACGTCACTGAATTCAAGGCCTATATAACCACTTCCTACAATTGCTATCCAATCTGGAACAGTCTCCAGTTTGAGTGCATGGTCACTGGTAATCACAGTCTTCCCTGAATGCATTTACTTGATGAGTCTTCATTAATGATACCAAGTAAAACTTGAAAGAACAAAGAAAAGGAAAACAGAGGGACAGTATCAGTATTCTAATATCCTATCCTATATACTATCGATAAAACATCTCTATAATACTAAATTGATCACTTCTTTATCCATTGCATGCTTACTACTTTTATATTCAACAGCATTCTACTTTCAAAGCCACTAGGGGTTGGACATGATGTTTATCATAGACAGTATGATATATCCCAGTTTCTGGTAGCAGGAAGACATGTCTATAACTAAGTCCTTTTCATTGAGTAAAATTAGAGGTGTTAACATAAAACAATAATGTCATGAAGAGAAAAGATAAAACATGCAGGCTATGGTGTACCATCAACTTCAATGCCCTTGGGAACAAAAGGAACGGAACCAGTGGCAATGATGATGTCTTTTGCAGTCACCACTTTGTTGGAAGAGCCAACTTTCGCCTTTTGAGGACCCTGCACAGATTTACACACAAGGGAGCAAACAAAAAAGTTAAAATCTCATCTGCATCTCTGTGGTCCAAATCCAAACCTTGGCTGACGAACAAAACAAATAACTCAATTTCCAAAGGCAATCACAATACCATTTATCTCCCACATCACTAAGCGCGACAACTCACTTACCAAAATAGTTCCAAAACCAGTGAGTATGTCCACTCCAAGTGCTTTCATGGAGTTGGTCAAGTTGCCACGGATTTTCGAAGCAAGATTATTAGCATGGTCAGCAACAGCCTGTCTGTCATACCCAGCAGCAGAAACCTAAAACATTAAAAAAAAAAAAAAAATCATAACACAACCAAGCTCTCTGCCATGAAGCACGCTACATTCTAAAGTTCTAAACACATTTCACACGATACTTTAACCTGCAAACCCAGCGACTTCAAGTGATGATCATTCCGCAGCTCCCGCATACGACCACTCACAGCCAAAAGAGCCTTAGAAGGAACACAGCCTCTGTTCACACACGTCCCTCCAACCACGTCTCCCTCAACAATCGCCGTTTTCAAACCCTGCAAAATTTCTCCGAAGAATATATAACTTCAGCAACACGTAATTTCATCGTTAATTAACGAGAAACGCTGGCAAGTAGCATTCACGCTCTTCTAAACACACTCCTTGTTATTAGCTAAAATTCATCGAAAATCACAATACGTATGTCTCACTTCTTATTTAATGCAATACCTATAATTAATGAGAAACGCTAGCAAGCAGCGACCACACTCT